ATAATCCATTAAGGTTCTGTTTGTCAAAGCTATTGTTACAGTGTCATGATGTCCAAATCCGAGTGGGATAAGAGGTTGATGTTTACAAGGTTTGCATTGGTCTGAGAAGAGATTCTTGCTGCATTTCAGAAGAATCCTTGGTGTATGATGACATCCGAGGATAAGATAATGGCGGTGATGACTTTTTTGTGAACAAATGGGTTGGGAGCCTTCTGCCATTGCCAAGCGGCCAATTCTTCTTTCATGACTGGAAGAGAGAATTATTCCTCGTGCTGCAGTTGTTCATTTTCTTCATCCAAAGGTTTGCTTAAGACCATTTTGTCTCGCTTACACCGTTAATATGTGTGAAAAGACCTTCTTGCAGAAGTTTGTAAATTGTTACATGAAGGTCCCCAGCTAAAGAAACTGTACAAAGAGACTGGATCTTTCAAGGAAGAGAAACTGATTAGTATTTTCAGATAGGAATGCAGCATTTGTAACATGTCTACATTTGAAACCTGCTTCAATCTAGCGAAAAGGCTATCACTGCTATGAAAAAACTGTCCATGCATTGTTGACGTGATCTTCAAATGAATTGCAAGTAATGTTGTTAGTGAAAGATCAATCTTTCAATCAATTCTACTGCACCTAAAGTCAATTATTTGCGAGATAATTGTGCCTGAATCTTATTGTTATGTTACTTGGTAATGGTCTCTCATTTGTACATATCAGTGACGTCGTTTTGAAGAGATTGTGGACTCGGTAAAGGAAATGGGCATCAATCCTATAAGATCACAGTTTTTTATTGCTATTGCGGTATGTTGTTACTTCCCAAATCGGAGTGGGATAAGAAATGATGTGTACAAGAGGTGGGGTTGGTCTGAGGAAGAGATTCTTATAACATTTTGAAAGAGTCCTTGGTGATGTATGACTTCATCGTGGATAATTATGAGAGTGATGGACCATTTTGTTTACAAAAAGGGTTGGGAGCCTTCTGTCATTGTGAAGCAGTCATTTCTTCTTTCACTTATAGCTGGGAGAAGAGGTTTGTGAATTGTTATGATGAAGCATCCGAGCTAATGAAGCTGTACAGAAAAGCTTCATCGTTCAAAGAATGTAAATTGAAGAAGCAGCATTTGTAATATGTTTACATCATAATGAATGATACAAGTGATGGCATTTTCTGTGTTTACTTCATCTTGTATTCTGTATTCACTTCGGCTTCAGTTCTAGTGATACAGCCATTTAGTCCAGACTGATTTGTAATTTCACTTGTGTTTAACTGGTAGTGGTTGGTTAGGAAATCAATTCTACTGCAATAAAATATATTCTCCCAGAAATCTAAATTCTACACCTAAAAAAATTAACTTTTTCAAGTTTTTTTACTGACTTCCGATATTGTTTGAGTCCCCCCGGGACATTTGTATGGTCAAAGCCATATTTTCAACTGATATTTTAAACTGAGTTGTCATAAAATGGAATAGATTGTAGAAGAATTATTGATTGAATAAAATAAAATAATAAATTTAGTTTAATAAGGTTCTAACATTATATTTACTACTTAAATTACTTGAGATGCCTATTCTATACAAGAGTATTAGTTATAAGTTAAGAAAAAAAGCCCCAATACAAATTGCCCAGGGCTTAGGACAATTACACCCCTTGAAACTGTCAAAAATATAATACCAAGCCCCTGCTTTTACTTTTTCCGTTAATTAATTTGTTATAAAAAAGAATTTAAATATTAAAAATAAACAAAAAATTAAAACGAAATTAAATAATAAACATAAATTTCAATCACAACGGCCCATTGGAGATCGTGCCGCGATCTGCAAATCGTTGGTCGCGATTTAACAGGGTGGGGGGTGTAATTGGTGTGTTTTGCAGTTACGGGTGACAAAGGTCAATTTTGAAGTTACGAGGGTTGTAATTGTCTTAAGCTCACTGCCCAAATAATATATTGCCATAATTTGAACGATGCGCTGGCGTTTTGGTGAGACCTATAATTATGTCAAGTCAGCCTGCAATTCTAAACTTACCAGGGTTTACTTTCATCTGTTCAAGATTTCAAGTTCGACGGGTCTCCAAATAGTGCGAGACTTTAAAGAAATTTTCTCAATTCTCAAGCATAGGTGAGTTATTCAATCACTTTTGCAACTACGATGTTTAATTTTTTCTTCGGAAATTTACTTCATAGTCATGGTAGATACGCTAACTTAGCTTTATTAACCCTAATAAATTTCAAGTTTTTTCCTGTCCAATTTTGTCAATACATCTCTACCAACTCAAATGAACAATCCTTTACCGTTTCATACCTTATATTTCAGGTGTTTGTCTTCTGAATCTGCTCTAAAGACATCCAAAAAGTTCAATTTGATACTCCAGAAAAACCAGACTTAGTGGTAAACTTTTTCAAGAGCAATGGCTTCTCAGAATCCCAAATTTTAGACCTCTCAGAAAGCGCCCAAAACTTCTTTTGTCAATCCTGAGAAAACCCTCTGCAAAACTTATTTTTTTCACTCCAAAGGCGTTTCAAGTCCCGTTCTTGCAAAACTTTTATGTCGGGACCCTAAACTCTTACATACGAGCTTAAAAAACCAAATACCCCTTCCTTCATTACCAAATAATTCTGTATTCACTTCGGCTTCAGTTCAGTCATACAGCGCATTTAGTCCAGATTTCACTTGTGTTTAACTGGTAGGGTTGATTAGAAATCAAATTCTACTGCACTAAAATTGAAATCTAAATTCTATACCTAAAAAAATATTTTTTTAAGTTTGTTATCTGACTGTCCAGATATTGTTTGAGCAGTAATACTAGACTTACCGACTCCCCCTACCGACTTTCTATCCAGCTGACGTGGCAGATGGCACCCTCATTTGCCACGTCATTCCATCCCCAAAATCAATAACTGTTTTTAGCAAAGTCGAGCCTACCAAATTCAAATATGCCTCCCAATTCATTTCCCCCAATAGTAAGAGAAGTAAAGAGAACCAAGGTAGAAACAACTTTTCCATTATATATTTCCATTTCTCAAAACCAACAGCCACAATAAAGGGGACATTTTATTTCAATGAAGAAAGGTTTATCAACCTTTGTTAACCCATAAACACGCACATAGGCAAGGAAAAAAGGTGCTCAAACAGCACAACAAAAGATAGGATTCTTTAAGTTGCCATTTAGAAATAATCTGGTTGGCGTTGTGGATTAACTTTTTGGTTTTGTTCATTTTGAAGCCTCTCTCTCCTTCTCAGGCTACCGTCGCCACGAAATACTAAATTCGCCGGCAAGCAGCCGCCGCCAAACTAGTTTTCACTCTATCTCGGGCCTCTCGCGCTGCTCTTTCTCTGTATGACGTCTTTCACAATTCTTAAGTTATTTATTCAATTATTAGGATTTCTTTTTCATAGTCTGTTAGTTTATTAGGGTTTTGCCCTTGTCATTGTTTTTGAGGCGGGTTGTTTATTAGTTTGGTTTAGGGCTTTTTTTTGCACTCAATTTTTCTTTTACGCACCTGCAATTTTTATTTTTTATTCCCTACACATTGATTTCAGTTTCTGTTTCAATCCACTCTTGTTGAATGTTCGGTTTTGCTTATCGTGTTTATCATATTCTAGGATAAGAAATTTCTTTAGTCCTCACTTGAGAAGCTTTACTCTTGTCGTTTAAGCATGGAGAAAATTTGATTGCTTTGATTGTAATTTGAGAATACTGTCCCGTAGAGCTTATAGATCGCTGAACTGAGGAATGAAGTTCTATGTATTCTTTGGTTACTGGATAAACAAAAATCAAGTAAAGAATCAAATCTGAACGGGCTTCGTGGTCAAATAGTGTCTTTATTTTTTCTGTATTATGTGTTGATGTAATTGCTCATACCTAAGCAATTCAAGAATGTGTACTGTCGTTTGGATTTGAATATGTGGTTGAAAACAAAAGGAACTAATGTGAATTTTTAATCATGCTATAATGCCTGAATATCTCATATTTTGTTAAAAGTATTTCAGACAATATTTATTTATTTTTATTTTAATTAAGTTCTTAATGGTGTGTTGTTTGGAAATGAAGAGTTTGGAACTTTAAAGAGACAGCATGATGGTTTCTGTATGAGTTCTATGATTAATTGCATGTTGTCAAGATTTATGTATAGTTTTTGCTCATGCTTGTGGATTTGATTCAAGCTAATTAAAGCTTTTTCTCTTCAGTTGCAGTATATTATCAATTTCTATCAGAGAGAATGGTGTTGATGTTGATCATTATAAGGTACTGGGGTTACCTTCCGGTGAGGAAGGGGCTAAACTAAGTGAAAAAGAATATCAAAGCATATAAATTCAAGGCTTTAGAATTACACCCGGATAACGCCTGATGACCCGGATGCCCATGCCAATTTCCAAAAGCTTAAGTCGTCTTATGAGATTTGAAGGATGAAAAAGCCCGGAATTGTATAATGATCTTCCAAAATTAAACGTGAGAAGGAACAACGACTAGTGCGCAGGATGGAAGAAAGAGAAAAATGAGGTCTGATCTTGAGGAGAGGGAAAGGGCTGCTTTTGCTCCGGACCCGACTGTGAAAGCTCAACAGGAAGAGGAGAGGATTGCCAGGCAACTTAAGGAAGAGATGCAAGAATCAAATGCGCGCATGGAAGTAAAGGAGCGGCTGCAGCATCCGCTTTGTTTAAGAGACTAAACAAAGTGAGACTGGTGCTGGGGTTGCTGGGGCAGGTTTGGACAAGGAAAAGATGCTTAAGCGTCGGGGGAGAAGGTTGGAGAGGATTATACTGCAGAGAGGTTGAAAAAGATATTTCACAGTTTGGACAGGTTGAAGATGTGGTCATTAAGATTCCAAGAGAAAGGTTCTGCACTAGTTGTAATGTCCACCAAAGATGCCATGTGAGTTTGTTGAATAGGTTGATTCATTTTACCTTATGCAAGTTTGTAATACGTGATTACTTATTATTTGATATTATTTTGTTATAGGTTGCTGCTACAGGAAGTGTTTGTGGTAGTCTTTCAAACCCTTTGCTGGTTTTGCCTCTTCAACCAGCTGTAGCAACTGAATTACAAGTGCACAGAGTCGTGAGGAGACTGATGGCCTGAATAATTGGTAGGAGCTGGTTATCAAGCATATGAAGACACTGTGTTGCAAAAGCTCCAAATGGTGTGATTCATAATCTTTTTAATTTTCAATTGGTAGTTCAAATGCTCTTAGATTCAAAATAGAGTTTACTTTGACTGCATGGATTTTAAGGTGAAATCACCACATCAGACTTGAACTGTAGTTCTGAGTGATTAATGGTGGGGCTTACTTTATAACTGAGGGCTATACTTTTATTAGTTTCAGATGTGTATGATGTATGCTACACACGTTAATACACTGTTCCCACGTTCCCCTCCTCTCTCTCTCTGTCTCTCATTCCACTTGCATGTACGTTAAATCGTAAAGCTTTTAGTAATTAAATTGGCGAGCATGATTTTAATATACATTTATTTCGGTGAACTTGAGTGCAATTATCTCCTGTCAATGTTCTCCAAGTGTTCGTTTGATATAATGTTAAAGATTTTCATACTTTGGACTGTTTATATCCACCTTAGATTTTCTAAATAGCTTATATTTTCCTATCATCTGGAGTTTTCATTTCAATGAATCTATTTTTTGTTTCAGATCTAGAATTTACAGGTGCAACTTTCTAGTAGGTTTCTAAAGCATCAATGCTTTATGGATAAGTTAACTGGAAATACTTAGTGTTTCTTTGAAGGGGGCTTGGATAAACTTTTTGTCAATGCAAGGCTCCTCCACGAATCTTGTTATGTTTACATAACTACATTGCTGGAATTCTTTTCAAATTGTTAAAAGGTGTTGTAATATCAGTAGATTAGTGCCATGGGTGGATATAATCATACAATAACAGATTGTATTTTGGTAAAAAATTGGCATGTCGTTCACTAGTATTGGTATGTGATCTATTTACTACTGCTAATGCATGATTGAGGAGTTGGTACTAAAGCATGCTACATCTGCACCTAAATTATAGCATCTGCATGTAGTACAATTTGTGAAGCCTGAAAGTGGGATTATTGCTACTGTTGAGCCAGTCGATAGACTGATATGATGTGCCAGTGTGGGCCATGTTAAAGCCATAACCTTTTGTTACACTTTATTTTTAATTTATTCCTTTTTCGCTCCCATTTCTTGGTTTTGTAATGACTTGTCAATGCTTTTCAACAGGCTGCAAAAAGACAAAAGTGACAAGCAAAAGTGATGAGGAAGAGAATCTTGGATGGATCATGTGTCTCTGATCTTTTGGAACTCTTATTAAAGGCAAGGAATAACTTTCTCCCCTTGTTGCCCATGTCCCCATTTCCCTTCTTGCTTGCTTGTTTATCAGTAATACCAGACTCACCGACTTCCCCCTACCGATTTTCTATCCAGACTGACGTGGCAGATGCCACCTCATCTGCCACATCAGTCACTTACCACGTCATTCCATCCCCAAAAAAAAATCAATTACTGATTCGAGCCAACCAAATTCAAATCTGCCTCCCTAAATTCATTTCCCCCAAATTTGCAAACCCTAAAATTTTCCCCAAATCAATTCCAATTTCAGATATCCTAGCCACCACAGAAAACGGTTTCAGTCACACTCCATGCACGCACCACCACCGCACTCCAATTTCACCAACGTAGCCAAGCCAACCTTTCTCACTATCGCCTCTCTTTAATATTGATATGTTTCGCACCACCATATTTGAACTCCCTGCCAATCGTTTACCAACCCATCACAACAACAAACACCACAATCCAATTGAAGCCACAGTCGACAGCCGCACCACCACATTTCACCGTCGTCCTTTACCAATGCCACCAAAACGAGGTTGCCGGCAAGATAAAGGAACCAACATCATAGCCTGTAAGGTATGGATGTAACCATTTGGGTGGGCAGGTTATTGTTTTGGACTATGATGTTAGATTTTGTATTGAGGCAAACAAGTATTTCTTGGCTGCAGCTACAGACCGATCTTTCGTCATGATGGCTGTGAACCAGATTATTTCTAAATGGCCAATTTAAAGAATCCTATCTTTTGTTTGTGCTTGTTTAAGCACCTTTTTTCCTTGTCTATGTGCATGTTTATGGGTTAAGAAAGTTTGATAAATCTTTCTTTCATTGAAAATAAATGTCTCCTTTATTTTGGCTGTTGGTTTTGAGAGATGGAAATATTTAATGGAAAAGTTTGTCTTCTACCTTGGTTCTCTTTACTTCTCTTACTATTGATGTAAAGTAATTTTTATGGCATGGTCTGCTCATCTCACTTAACTTCCCTGTAAATGCATAATCGTTCAAGTTGATAACATTTAAGCTACTAAGCTTTAAGTTGACAACATTTAAGATGGTAAGCTTTAAGTATGAGTTTAAGTTGATAACATTTAAGCTGGTAAGCTTTAAGTATAGCCTCAATGCTACAAATTAATGAGTACTGGTTTTGAATTCTCCTCAAGGTGGTTTAATTTTAATGAATCCTTTAATTCATAATGATCGTATCACTATATTTGGGTCACATATGTGTTACGAATTACGGAAAATTATTTTTTTGTATTTTATTTAGGGTAATCTGTTTGCAGTATAGTACAAACGATGGAAGAGTGCAGTCAAAAGAAATCAGAGAACTCTTCTTCTCAATTCGAAGTCGTTGAGGTAATCTCTTTTTATTTAGTAATATGATTGTATTTTGTTTATGGTATTATTTCTACCTGTTTTTAAGTATTATTATATTCTAATTCTGGCTCTACTGTGATTTCGATAAATTAGGATAATAATAACCCAAAAGTACAAGTTATAAGAAGTGCAGAAGATGAATGGGAGCAAAGGACTTTGAAGTTGTAATTTGGGAGAGAGACTTATGTGTTTGTAATCTGGGCAGTGTGTTTGTAGTCTAGGCAGTGTGTTTTTAGTCTGGGCAATGTGTTTGGGAGGTGTTTGGGCAGTTTGTGCAGTTTGTGTACTTTGCACTGATCCATATTGATAATTGTAATATCACTAGTCTTTTATTTATACATTCAAGGTAAAATTTGTAACTTGAATTTCATTTCATAATCTAATTTTGAGGTGTATAATGCGTTCAGACTGCCAAAGAGTTGCTGCAACATCCTTTTTCTTTCTGATGATGCTTGAGTTTTGGATATACAGATTAGTTTAGCCTAATTCACTTTATTTGTTAATTGATTCTTTTATCCATATTTGATGTATGGTGAATCAAAGATTCATCTGACAATTGGATTTTTATGTGAATGAAATACAGTTAATTCTTTCATCATCCCATGGTTTAGTAAACCTTATGTCTCTATGTGATTCTCTGAATCTGTAATGATCTTCGTTGTGTTATTTAGTCAAATTTCAAATGGAAGTTATTTTCAGTTGTGACTTCTTTAGCACAATATTGTTGACTAATGACTATGCACTCTTGGATCATTATTGATTGCTTTAGTTTCAAGTTGACCATACAACTCAATCCGAGGAATATATATTGCAGTATTCAATGTTTATAATGAGAAAGATCAAAGACAAAACACAAAGAGTCTAGCACCCAAAATACTTTTTCAGCTCATAAAGATATTTTCTATCTATCAATGTGGCATTTCTCTGAAACTGAACCATATTTATAAATCTAACTCAACTCAAGACGTACACAGCAAAATATATACACTCTCTATCGATTAATGGAAGTACTTAACATTAACGGGCTTCCATAATTGTGGCAGTTACATCGTTGACAGAACAGTTCTCTAGCCTATTGGTAGATGAACTTTGGATGGAAGGCAAGAAAAGTTGTTCCAGGAGGTGGGGGGCAGCCCCTGACCATTAGCTGCACAAAGAAAAACATTAACTTCCTACACAGACAGCAGGAGAATAAGATATACTTTCACAGACAAAGAAAAACATTTACTTCGAAGTCCATATAAGCAATGTATATGCTATAATTCTTAACTGGGTGAAAAAGTAGTTTTATTGTCTATCCAGAAAAAATATATAATCGAAGGTTTGAAAATTCTGAATTATCAATAAAGAGCTTTCATACGAGTTATGTTGAATCATGCCTCCAAATATAGCTATAATGAATGTAAACTACTGTGAAATGCAAGTCTTACCAGGCGCTGCATGTTGATTAATTTGCTAATATCCATAGGAATGTCAACTGCAGAGCAAAGGGAAGAAGGGACAACTTCACTGTACATGCTCTAAAGCTTCATTATATTTGCATGCAACAAAAGATTCACAGTACTGATTTCTCACTTGATTGAAAACAATAATAAGAATAATAGCAAGCATCACCTAATTTGTTGCGTGTTAAATCAAGAGTGCGCACAGATCTCTCCAGATCAAGAATTTCATCTGGAAATATCTATTCAAGCAAAAGGGTAGATTAAGAATAGAATAAGCAAGATGCAGATGACATCCACCCACCCATGACCTGACCATCTACCTCTTAATTCAAACCCCAAAGGAAGCTACGGGTATAATGCTATAACATATAAACAAATTATCCCATTCCAAAAAGAAATCAATTGCACTATTTATTTCACGAAACTTGGTCCTCAAATGGTGAACCTTACATAAATCACAATGTAGCCTAGACTCTACTTGCCGAAGTTAATGCACTCACAGATATGATCCACTTTCCTTTCCTCATTAGTTGATTACTGTGAACAAAATTAATCCCATGAAAGACAAATTTTATCTCCATGTAGCAAAAGAATTCATCTGAAATAAAAAAACTCACTGATTAACAATATCCATAATAGTTTCTACACAGTATATTACAGGTACTTTAATTTCGTCCAATTCCATTAACTTAGTTCACATTCACTCCTATCACTAACAATTCTACACAAACTTTAAACTTGTTTTCTTAGACACAAAATCATGCGAAACATCTAGTCTAGGAAGACTTGCGATAAGTTCATATCCACAATTCTCTTTTCAAAAATTTCTTCTGGTGGAGAATTTAAAATCTATACCTAACCTTTCCACTCAAAAACAGATTCAATAACTGCATTAATAATCTCTGATTAATTTAAAATTTAATTTTGTTATGCCTAAAATGTCACGCTGATGTCAGCTCAATAAGTACCTAAAAAACAAATTATACTTTCTGTCAAGCCCATACCGCCTCAAAGATATCTTATACCAACCCTATCTCATTTTAAGAAAAAAATGGATGAGAGTTGTTCATGTGTCAAGACAACTTGCAAAACACTTATTACATTGAACTTACAGGTGTATAAATTGACACTTCTCTTCATGAAAATGGGAGTTAGGCATATGAAAGCTAGACATAGATTTGAGTTCCATTATTTCTCTTTGTAAACAAAATATTTCTCCATCTTTATATGCCTTACGGGCAATATCATAAAAATAGCCAGAGAACAATAAAATAACAGTGGATGTAAGATCTACTTTAAGCATCCAAACCACTATAAAAACCTCTCTTGTCAGTCTATTATTCATGTTTCTGCAACATATATAATCTCAGCTCTATATTCAAATCTCATGGATTCATCACGTGTAATTTCTAAGACTCTCTTAACACTTTGCACGTGCGAGTCGTTGGTGTCCAAAATCAAGTATCAACAGATTTCAATAAATATAAAATAGAAGCCAGACATATAAATACTAAAGAGACTCAAGTGCTCTCTGTACTACAGGCTTGGATATGGTGGCTAATTTTTGCTGCAATATTGCGTGTAATACGTTAGGTTTAAACCATTGAAAAAAAATAATAAAAACTGACTGTAAAAGAATAGTTCTGATTATAGCTACTTTCTCCATCTCCTTTGCTCATGCAAAGCACATCCTTTGTAATGGGTGCTCTAGGAATACACCCTTTATTTATGATGCATCAATGCAAAAAACTATTTTATACTTGGATTATACACGACCAATACTTGTTTGCCTCAATACAAAATCTAACGTCACCTTCCAAAAACATAACCTGCCTGCCCAAATGGTTACATCCATACCTTACAGGCTGTGATGTTGGTTCCTTTATCTTGCTAGCGACCTCGTTCTGGTCGCGTTAGTAAAGGACGGCGGCGAAATGTGGTGGTGCGAGCGTCGACTGTCCCTTCAATTGGATTGACTGTGGCTTCAATTGGATTGTGGTGGTTGTTGTTGTGATGGGTTGGTAAACCATTGGAAGGGAGTTCAAACATGGTAGTGTGAAATATATAAATATTAAAGAGAGGCAATAGCGAGAAAGGTCGGCTTGGCTACATCGGTGAAATTGGAGTGCGGTGGTGGTGCGTGCATGAAGTGTGACTGAAACCATTTTCTGTGGTGGCTAGAATATCTGAAATTGGAATTGATTTGGGGAAAATTTTAGGGTTTGCAAATTTGGGGAAAATGAAATTAAGGAGGCAGATTTTAATTTGGTAGGCTCGAATCGGTAATTGCTTTTTTTGGGGGGGATGGACTGACGTGGTAGATGAGGTGGCATCTGCCACGTCAGTCTGGATAGAAAATAGGTAGGGAGAGCCGGTAAGTCTAATATTATTGTTGTTTGAGTTAGGGCTCTGCAAAACTAGGTATCCGCTTCGGTTTTAACTGAAAATCGGATATTTGAATATTCAGATACTCTTAAAAAGGTATCCGCTAATCGAATCGGTTTTAGAATACCCGGTTTTGCGGGTACCTGAAAATTCGGGTCACAAATTTGTGACCTGAATTTGATTAAAATTTTAAAATTACACAGCAGACTGCACCAGCTTTGAAATTCATGGTCCAAAAATTATGCACTCAAAGTTGCACGGGAAGAAGCAGAAGCTAAAAGAGAAAGAAATAAAAGAAGCAGTGAAAAAAAACAGTTTTGTTTACTCATACTATTCATTCATTCAAGAATTTGATTTTTTCTTTCTTTCATGCCTTCGCTTTTATTGAATGAATTAATTGAAGGCATTTGAATAGAAAAGAAAAGTAGCCGTTAGTAGAAAAATTTAAAGAAAAAGCATGGGAAACCTCCAATATCACCTTCTCCAAAAGCACTTTCACATGACTTGCCTGTGCTTCTCTTTGCAATGGAGAATGTGAAATCACCTGACATATTGCAGTCTCAAGAAGAAAATTTCAGTGGATTAGTAGAGAATTTTTAGACTTTAATGGAGACTGCAGATGCAGACTAGAGAATTTGAGAGTGAGAGAGATGACTGCGGCTGTTGAGAGTGAGAGAGATGAGTGCAGCTGTGCGGTGCAGATGCAGATGCAGATGCAGATTGAGATTGGAGAATTTGAGAGTGAGAGAGATGAGTATTGAGTGCGGCTGTGCGGTGCAGATGCAGACTGAGACTGGAGAAGGCGAGGATCTGAATTTGAGAGTGAAAGAGATGAGTTTGAGTGCAGCTGTGCGCCTGTGTGCAGGTTCTGCAGGACTTGAGTACTTGACGTAGTGACAGGTTTTAGTTTTAGGGCATAAGGGATTTCTAATTTGTTTCAGATTTGCGGTTTTTGTAGTTTTGCCTTTGAAAATTGAAAGTCTACGTTTTGCTTTTTTTTTTTTTTTTTTTTAAAATAAAACTGGGTACCTGATTTTCTAAAATTAAATAACCGATACTCAAACCGAAAATTCGAGTATCTTATAAAAAAATTTCTAAACCGACCCGAAAATTCGGATTCGATTCAGTTCGATTACCCCTTTTTTTTGCACGGTCCTAGTTTGAGTCCCCCCTGGATTGTAGAAGAATTATTGATTGAATAAATGAAATAAAAATAATAAAATTTAGTTTAATAAAGTTCTAACATTATTGTTTACTACTTAAATTACTTGAGATGCCTTTGTCTATGCAGAGTATTAGTTATAAAGTTAGAAGAAAGAAAACCCTAATACAAATTGCCCAAAGGGCTTAGGACAATTACGCCCCCTGAAACTTTCAAAAATATAAGACCAAGCCCTGGCCTTTACATTTTTCCGTTAAAATTAATTTGTTATAAAAAAGAATTTAAATATTAAAAATAAACTAAAAAATTAAAACGAAATTAAATAAATAAACAAATAAATTTCAATCACAACCGGCCTTTGGAGATCGTGGCCGCGATCTGCAAATCGTTGGTCGCGATTTAACAGGGTCGGGGGTGTAATTGGTGTTTTTTGCAGTTCTGGGTGCCAAAAGTTAATTTTGAAAGTTACAGGGGTTGTAATTTTTTAAGCTGATTGCCCAAATAATATATTGCCATAATTTTAACGATACGCTGGCGTTTTGGTGAGACCTATAATTATGTCAAGTCAGCCTGCAATTCTGAAGTTACCAGGGTTTGACACTTTTACTTCCACCTGTTCAAGAGTTCAAATTCGACGGGTCCCCAAAATAATGCGAGACTTTAAAGAAATTTTCTCAACTCTCAAGCATAGGTGAGTTTATTCAATCACTTTTGCAACTACGATGTTTAATTTTCTCTTCATAAATTTACTTCATAGTCATGGTAGATACGCTAACTTAGCTTTATTAAACCCTAATAAATTTCAAGATTTTTCCTGTCCAATTTTTGTCAAATACATCTCAACCAACTCAAATGAACAATCTTTTACCGTTTCATACCTTATTAATTCATGTGGGATGTCTTCTGAATCTGCTCTAAAGGCATCCAAAAAAGTTCAATTTGTTACTCCAGAAAAACCAGACTTATTGGTAAATGTTTTAAAGAGCAGTGGCTTCTCAGAAACCCAAATCTCAGACCTCATCAGAAAGCGCCCAAATCTGCTTTTGTGCAATCCTGAGAAAACCCTTTTGCCAAAACTTGAGTTTTTTCACTCCAAAGGCGTTTCAAGTCTTGTTCTTGCAAAACTTTTATGTCGGGACCCTAGCATCTTACAAACGAGCTTAAACAAAAAATTAATCCCTTCCTTTCATTACCTTAGTAACTTGCTTCAATCAAGTGAAAAGGCTATTACTGCTGTTAAACGCTCTCCAAGCATTATTTGTCATGATCTTCAAAAATTGATTGCACCTAAAGTCGGTTATTTGCGAGATAATGGTGTGCCTGAATCGAATATTTTTAGGTTACTTAGTAATTGGACTTGCATATTTATAAATGACTTTAGTCGGTTTAAAGAGACTGTGGACTTGGTAAAGAAAATGGGTATAAATCCTGCAAGGTCACAGTTTGTTATTGCTATTCATATAATGATGGCAATTTCCAAATCTCTCTGGGATAAGAAGATTGATGTTTACAAGAGGTGGGGTTGGTCTGAGGAAGAGATTCTTACAGCATTTCGAAAGAATCCTTGGTGTATGACTACATCTGTGGATAAGATTATGGGAGTGATGGACCATTTTGTAAACAAAATGGGTTGGGAGCCTTCTGTCATTCTGAAGCAGTCAAATCTTCTTTCACTCAGCTTGGAGAAGAGAATAGTTCCTCGTGGTTCAGTTCTTCAATATCTGTCATCCAAAGGTTTGCTTAAGAATAATTTTCTCTCGGCCACACCTTATACCATTCGTGAAGAAACCTTCCTGCAGAAATTTGTTAATTGCTATGATGAAGCTCCCCAGCTAAAGAAGCTGTACAAAGAGAAGCTGGATCTTTCAAAAAAGAGAGACTGATTAGTATAGAGAGATAGGAATGAAGAACTTATAATATGTTTATCTTAGAATCTAAACTGATGCTCTTTCTCTGTGGTACTTGATCTTGATCAGACTTGCATGCATAATTTCTTTAGTTGAAATGGGAAAGAGTTTTCTGTCCAGATTACTTATGGTTTATTTGAAATTATTCCTTCTGACATTGCTAAGAATCCAAGTCTTTTTTCATATAGCTTAGAGACGAAAATTATTCCTCGTGCTACGAAAATTATTCCTCGTGCTTCAGTTCTTCAGTATCTTTTAACCCAAGGTTTGCTTAAGAATAAATTTCTCTCAGCTACACAGTTTAAGCTATGGGAAAAGACCTTCTTGCAGAAGTTTGTGAATTGTTATGATGAAGCTCCCCAGCTAGTGAAGCTGTGCAATGAGAAGCTAGATCTTTCAAAGAGGAGAAACTGATTAGACCAGAGTGTTGAATGCAATGCAGCATTTATAACATGATTACATCACATTCAAAAGTGATGCTCTTTCTCTGTGGTACTTGATCTTCTATTCAGAAAGAGCTTTTGGTCCAGTTGATTATGGTTTATGTTCAATTCCTCTCATGTTTGCCTCTGCAATGTGATTTTAAGATGTGTAACCAAGTATCATACTGGAATATTAGTCTTTGGTTTCTGTTACGAACAATTTTTTGCTAAGCCAGCAAAATTGATGTATCGATATTGGTCTTCTAACCACAATGCTGATATGAAGAAGACATACCAATTCATGTTATGGTCAAATTATCTTCTATGGCATTGAAGCCGAATAGATTAATGATTTCAGTAGAATTTGGAGAATGTTTGGTGTGTTTTAGTTTATATGTATTTTATCTACAGTTGCCTACCCAACTAAACTTGAAGATTAATAGAGGGTGTTACTTACATAATCCGACATCTCAGATGAATAAGACTCTTTTTTAACTTGTTTTTCAGGAGAGTGCCTTTATGCTCTCTGCTACTGTAATACGTTGTCTTATTTGTAAAGAAGCTCACGAATCATGAGGAAATTTGATGTGTCAATCACTAATGAATTGTTTTTTTGCTTGTTTAAGAAAGAACTAAAACACGAGGAAGCATATTTACATTAGTGGTTGCTTTGAATACAGAATTCTACTGAAAAAAAAAAGTAATTATTTTTCATGAGCTAAGTTGCAAAGTCAATCATCTCAATCGCACATCTTAGTTAATCCTCTAGAATCTCGAAACTACTGATCGAATAAGAGTTTTAATGGTCACTCTTATTAGCATCCGATGAGATATTTGAATACAAAACCTCTTGAGTAATACATTTAAAAGTCTTTTGTCAAACTACTCAACCACTGAAGAGTTGGTTGCAAATTATATAGTCTATCACAGATTTTTAAGTTTGTTCTATCATGGTGTCATTGTAAATGAGACTAAAAATTATTATGTTAGAAAGTCATCTCATTCTAGGTGATGAGATTGGTGAAGTTAATTGGGAAGAAAATATAAAAATAAACTTGGGTGATTTCAAGTGTGTCCAATCAACATAACAGATGTTGCATTAGCCCAAACCCAATTGCCTCAAACGGAATGTCGTATTTACAAACTCAAAGCTCTTTCTACAAAAATACGCTGTCGTTTGGGAATGGATTAAGTATGTTTAGCCTGCCTTCAGATCTGCAACTTACCAGGGTTCCACTTTCGCCTGTTCAACGGCTCTCCAACTATGCGAGATTATTGAAGAAATTGTCTCAAGTCTCAACTCTCAAACTTAGGTAAGTACATTCTATAACTTCGCAATCGTGATGTTTAATTTTCTCTGCAGAACTTTACTTCGCAATCATGATAGAGATACTTACTTACTTTCATGTCCAATTTTTGTCAAATACATCTCAACCAACTCAAATGAACAATCTTTTACCGTCTCATACCTTATTAATTCATGTGGGTTGTCTTCTGAATCTGCTCTAAAGACAGCCAGAAAAGTTCAATTTGATACTCCAAAAAAACCGGACTTAGTGATAAACTTTTTCAAGAGCAGTGGCTTCACAGAAACCCAAATTTTAGACCTCATCAGACAGCGCCCAAAACTTCTTTTGTGCAATCCTGAGAAAACCCTTCTGCCAAAACTTGAGTTTTTTCACTCCAAAGGCGTTTCAAGTTGTGATCTTGCAAAACTTTTTTGTCGGCGACCTAATGTCTTACGAAGGAGCTTAAAAAAGCAAATAATTCCTTCCTTCCATTACCTTAGTAACTTGCTTCAATCTAGTGAAAAGGCTATTACTGCTATTAAACACTCTCCAAGCATTCTTTGTTGTGATCCTCAAAAATGGATTGAACCTAAAGTCAGTTATTTGCGAGATAATGGTGTGCCTGAATCGAATATTGTATTGTTATTTAGTAATTGGCCTTACATAGTTATAAAGGACTCTGGTCGGTTTGAAGAGACTGTGGACTTGGTAAAGAAAATGGGTATAAATCCTATAAGGTCACAGTTTGTTATAGCTATTCATATAATGTTGGGAATTCCCAAATCTCACTGGGATAAGAAGATTGATGTTTACAAGAGGTGGGGATGGTCTGAGGAAGAGATTCTTACAACATTTCGAAAGAATCCTTGGTGTATGATTACATCTGTGGATAAGATTATGGGAGTGATGGACCATTTTGTAAACAAAATGGGTTGGGAGCCTTCTGTCATTCTGAAGCAGTCAATTCTTTTGTCACTTAGCTTGGAGAAGAGAATAATTCCCCGTGCTTCAGTTCTCCAGTATCTATCATCCAAAGGTTTGCTTAAGAATAATCCTTATAACCCGGTTACATCGTTTCGACTTCCTGAAGAAACCTTCTTGCAGAGATTTGTGAATCGTTATGACGAAGCGCCCCAGTTAATCAAGCTGTACAGAGAATCTGGATCTTTCAAAGATGGTAGAGAGAAAGGAGAGCAGCATTTGTAATACGTTGACATCAGAATGATAAGGGTGTTACTTGATCTAGTTAAATTCATTGTATTCATATTGGCTTTACTTTTAGTCAAAAAGAGCATATAATCCAATTTTTGTTTTCTTCTTGTGACATGCTGTCTCTTGACTAAAGCACAGGCTCTGCAATGTGATGTATAATCATGTATCGAACTGTGATCTCTGGCTTTGTTTAGTCTTGTTAAAACTCTGCAACTAGTTACCTTTGGTTGATTTTAATTTCCTTGATATCTGTTATGTTTTTGGAAGGCATGCTAATTTTCTTCTCTCCCATTAGGAAAACATTTGAAAAAACTCAATGAGTTAATGACTTTAGAAAAAGATTACCTTATCAACTCATGTGGGTTGTTTTTAGAATCTGCTTTATCAGCTTCTAAATATGTTCATTTTGAAACCCCATAACAGGCTGATTCAGTTCTCAGCTTTTTTGAGAAACACGGTTTTTCGAAACCCCAATTTTCAATCCTCATCAATGGACTTCCAGCATTTCTTGTGTCTAGTCCTAAGATAACCCTTTTGCCAAAACTAGATTTTTATTTTTTTTTTCACTCCAAAGGCTTCTCAAGCCCTGATCTAGCAAAAATATTTTGTTGCAACCCTCGTATCTTGGAAAGCAGCTTAAAAGACCATATAATCTCTTCCTTTACTTACCTTAGTAACTTGTTTCAACCTACTGAAAAGACTATAATGGTTGTTAAACGCTTTCCACCTATATTTATCGTGATCTTCAAAATCATCTTCCTCCTAGAGTGAATTATTTGCCAGATAATGGCGTGCCTGAACCAAAAGTTCTTATGCTTCTTTATAACTGGCCTAAGGCTCTTGTAAGCTACCCTCGTTGGAAAGAGGCTGTGGACTTGGTAAAGAAAATGGGTATCAATCCTTTCAGATTACAGTTTCTTATAGCTATTCATATAATGTTGTTAATGCAAAAATCTGAGTGGGCTAAGAAGTTCGATGTTTACAAGAGGTGGGTTTGGTCTGAAGAAGAGATTCTAATAGCANTCTATACGGTGGCGTTTTCTAGTGGGACCAATAAATATGTTTTAAGTCCGCCTCCAATTCTTACCAGGGTTTTACTTTCACCTGTTCGAGATTTCGAGTTCAATGGCTCTCCAAATTAATGCGAGATTTTAAGAAATTTTCTCAACTCTCAAGCATAGGTGAGTTTATTCAATCACTTTTGCAACTATGATGTTTAATTTTCTCTTCAGTAATTTACTTCATAGTTATGGAAGATACGCGAACTTAGCTTTATTAAACCCTAATAAATTTCAAGATTTTTCGTGTCCAATTTTTTTAAAATACATCTCAACCAACGCAAATGAACAATCTTTTACCGTCTCATATCTTATTAATTCATGTGGGATGTCTTCTGAATCTGCTCTAAGGGCATCCAAAAAAGTTCAATTCGATACTCCAGAAAAACCAGACTTAGTGATAAACTTTTTCAAGAGCAGTGGCTTCTCAGAAACGCAAATCTCAGACCTCATCAGAAAACGCCCAAAACTGCTTTTGTGCAATCCTGAGAAAACCCTTTTTCCAAAACTTGAGTTTCTTCACTCCAAAGGCGTTTCAAGTTGTGATCTTGCAAAACTTTTATGTCGGTGCCCTTTTTTCTTNGTTTAATTTTGTCTGCAGAACTTTACTTCGCAATCATGGTAGAGATACTTACTTACTTTCACTGAACCATAATAAAATTCAAGATTTCGTGTGTCCAGTATTTGTCAAATACATAGCAACCAAATCAAAAGAACAAACTTTTACAGTCTCATACCTCATTAATTCATGTGGGTTGTCTCCAGAATCTGCTTTAAGGGCATCCAAAAAAGTGCAATTCGAAACTTCAAAAAGACCAGACTTAGTGCTCACCCGGTTCAAGAACAATGGCTTCTCAGAAACCCAAATTTCACATCTCATCAGAAAATGTCCACAACTGCTTTTGTACAATCCTGAGAAAACCCTTTTGCCAAAACTTGAGTTTTTTCATTCTAAAGGCTTCTCAAATCCTGATCTTGCAAAAATAGTTTGTTGCAGGCCTCGTATCTTGGAAAGTAGCTTAAAGAACCTTATAATCCCTTCCTTCACTNCAATCGAAGACAACAAACCCACAAACAAATTATAGATGAAGCCCGATAAGCCCAATGGTGCAGAGGTCCGCTGGGCTTTGATAATAAGATTTTGTTTCTTCTTCATAGAAAGTTTTGCCGGGCCGCTGCATAATACTCGAGGGTTTCAGTTTCAGTTTCTTCCCCCTGTTCAACTGAAACGGTACGCTAGCTTTCTGAAGGAGATGTTTGGAGCATAAGGTGAAAGGTAAGTGTATTCTATTATTTTTTCAATTATGGCATTTAATTTTCTTCGTAGAACTTTAGTTCAGGATCATGGAAGATACACTGTTAGTGCTTCACCAAACGATAGATTTCAAGACTTTTTTAATCCAATATTTGTCAAATACATCTCAACCAACTCAAATGAGCAATCTTTTACAGTCTCTTACCTCATTAATTCATGTGGGTTGTCGCCAGAATCTGCTTTAAAAACATCAAAAAAGTTGCAATTGGAAACCCCCGAAAAAGCTGACTTAGTCATCACCTTGTTCAGGAACAGTGGATTCTCAGAAACCCAAATCTGTGACCTAATCAGAAGATGCCCATCACTGCTTTTGTCCAATCCTGAGAGAAGCCTTCTGCCCAAACTTGAGTTTTTTCACTCCAAAGGCTTCTTAAGTACTGATTTTGCCACTGTTTTAAGTCGGTACCCTAGAATCTTGCTAAGAAGCTTAAACAACCATATAATCCCTTCTTTTACTTATCTAAGTAACTTGCTTCAATCTAGTGAAATGGTTATCACTTTAATTAAACGAATTCCTTTAATTCTTTATTGTAATCTTCAAATTTTTGTTGAGGCTAAATTCAATGTTTTGCGAGAAATTGGTGTACCTGAAACACATATTGTTAAGTTACTTTATAAATGGCCTACTGTATTCATAAATTATTCTCGTCGTTTTGATGAGACTGTGGAATTATTGAAGAAAATGGGTATGGATACTTTAAGGTCACAGTTTGTCAAAGCTATTGTTATAATGTCAACGATGTCCAAATCCGAGTGGGATAAGAAGGTTGATGTTTACAAGAGGTTGCATTGGTCTGAGGAAGAGATTGTGAGAAGAGAAAGTTCCTCGTGGTTCAGTTCTTCAATATCTGTCATCAAAGGTTTGCTTAAGAATAATCCCTTAACCCGGTTACATCGTTTAAACTTCCTGAAGAAACCTTCTTGCAGAGGTTTGTGAATTGTTATGATGAAGCGCCCCAGTTAAGAAGCTGTACAGAGAAGGATCTTACAAAGATGGCAAAGTGAAAGGAAAGCAGCATTTGTAATATGTTGGCATCAAAATGTAGTGGTACTTGATCTAGTTAAATTCTTTGTATTCAGATTGGCTTTACTTTAGTCAGAAAAGGCATCTACTCCAGATTTTTAGTATTCTTCAGAAGTACAGATTTTTATCTGTAAACTACATCTCTAGCAATGCAAATCAGTACTCCTTTGTTGTTTCTACTTCATCAACTCGTGGGTTTTCTTTAGACTCTGCTTTATCAGCTTTTAAACATGTGCATTTTGAAACTCAGAACGGGCTGATCATTCGTTCGCAGCTTTTTCGAGAAAATATGCAGTGGCGGATCCAATGACTTGAGGGGACTTAAGTCCCCACTCAACTTTTGAAAAAAGTCCATATCTTATATTATTTAATTTTACACTATAGTGATTATGAGATTTTGGGAACAGTTCTCACAGCTAGTTTGGTTTTATTTTTGTAAAACCCTATTTTAATCATATATATATATTTCATATTTTGTATTTTTAGTTTTATGCAAGAGGATGGGTTAGTTTTAAAAGTTATTAGGAGTGAAAATGAAGGAATAAGACTATTGGGTTTACATTTAACTGAGGGGAGAAATCGAGCATTTTTACATCACAAGCTAATGTGATGAGGTCAGGTGAGAATAAGAGAATCTTGGACAGTTTCATAATTCAAAGAAGTGTTTTATATATAAACTAGGTTGTTTGTCAAAATAAAGAAAAAAAAAGAAAAACCATAAGAAGAAAGGAAGAAGAAGCAAGGAAAAGGAAAGAGAAGAGAGAAAAGAATGGGTTGGTCAGTCAATTAGATTTTTCTGCACTTGAGTGGTGGTTACTTGAGATCAGATTGAGATTTATGTTATTAACATACGTTCTTGTGATAAATTTGTTGAGTTATAAGAAATTTTGATTGGTTAAGAATTTAGTTTGGTTTAAAAAAGAATTTGCATACGTTGGTGTATAAGCTGTGAAAGTTGCATTGGTTTTATCAGTTGCGACTGCGTTGTTGAAAAGATTTTTTTTATAAGAACTGTGTGAAAAATGGGCTAGCAATCGAATGGGAGATCAATAGATGAATGATTGCTTGGTCATCTATATTGAGAAAGATGTATATTTGTATAATTGACAATGAGATGTATCAACGTTTTCGACTAGGAAAATAGTCAAGGAAACTGGAGGAAAATTGTTTTATTTTTACAAAAATGTATTTTTTGAAGATATTATTTTTTATTTATAATTTTCATTGAAGCTCATTATAATAATAAAAAAAAAGTGTAATTATGATTGATTTTTTTTTTTTTTTTTTTGTTTTATTTTGCCCCCATTGTGAGAAATTCCTAGATACGCCACTAGAAATATGGTTTCTCCAAAGCCAGATTCCAACCTTATCGAGAGACTCCAACATCGCTTGTGTCTAGTCCTGAGGACCAGAAAACAAAATTAATTTTAAACAATAAATTGATGAAACTTAATTGATTTCATTGATTTAGATTAAACATTATCAAAACCTTTTTTTTATTTTATTGTGTATTGAATCATCGTTGTCAATCGTCAATGGTCAAAATTAGATTTTTGTATCGGTCCACAAACAAATTAAGATGAGCCGAGAAGCCAATAGTGGGATAAGAAGTTTGATTTTTACAAGATGTGTGGTTGGTCTGAAGAACAGATTCTAACAGCATATCGGAAATACCCTTGGTGTATGATGACATCTGAGAATAAGATTATGGCAGTGATGGATTTTTTTGTGAACAAAATGGGTTGGGAGACTTCTGCCATTACTGACCAGCCAGTTCTTTTTTCATTGAGCATGGAGAAGAGAATTATTCCTCGTGCTTCAGTTCTTCAGTATCTGTTAACCAAAGGTTTGCTTAAGAATAAACTTCTCTCGGCTACACCATTTAAGCTATGTGAAAAGCCCTTCTTGCAGAAGTTTGTGAATTGTTATGATGAAGCTCCCCGGCTAATGAAGCTGTACAATGAGCAGCTGAATCTTTCAAAGAAGAGAAATTTATTACAATAGAGAGAGAGAATGCAATGCAGTATTTATAACATGTTTATTTCAAAATCAAAAGTGATGCTCTTTCTCTGTAGTCCTTGATCTGCTATTTAGAAAGAGATTTTGGTCCAGACTACTTATGGTTTATTTTCAATTTCTTTCATGTTTGTCTCTTGAGTAAAGAAAATATCCTCAGCAATGTGAATTTAAGATGCGAAACCATCTATCATACTGGAAATATTAGGCCTTGCTTAGTCCTCTTACTGCTCTGCAGCTAATTTCCTTTGCTTTCGGTTACGAACAAGTTTTTGCTAAGCCATATTGGTCTTTTGACCACAATGCTGTTGTTTAGAAGGCATACCAATTCAATAGTCAAATTATCTTTTATGACATTGAAACATATAAAAGAGAAGCTGAATTGAATAGGTTAATGATTTCAATGAAATTTGGAGAATGATTGGTTTGTGTGAGTTTATGTCTTTTATTTACGGTTTGCCAAATCCGTCTGTAATTCTACCTACCTCTTTACTCTTTAGTTACCTTAGTAACTTGCCTCAATCTACTGAAAAAGGGTTGTTACTGCTGTTAAACACTTTCCAACTATTCTTGATCGTGATCTTCAAAATCGTCTTCCTCCTGAAAGTCGATTATTTGTGAGACGGTAGTGTGGCTGAACCAAATATTATTATGCTTTTTTACAACTGACCTATGGTTTTGGTAAACTACTCTAAACGTTTTAAAGAGACTGTGGACATGGTGAAGAAAACGGGTATCAATCCGTTAAGGTCACAGTTTATTGTAGCATGATGCAAAAATCTGAATGGGATAAGTCAAGTATAATATTTATAGGAAAATCCTTAGGGTAGGGGGTGTACTCAGTATTTTCTACAGTTATCAGTTTTGAAAGTTATAGTGTACAATGGTCTTAGGCCCATTGCCCAGATAATACCATGACCTAATTTGATCTATACGGTGGCGTTTTCTAGTGGGACCAATAAATATGTTTTAAGTCCGCCTCCAATTCTTACCAGGGTTTTATTTTCACCTGTTCGAGATTTCGAGTTCAATGGCTCTCCAAATTAATGCGAGATTTTAAGAAATTTTCTCAACTCTCAAGCATAGGTGAGTTTATTCAATCACTTTTGCAACTGTGATGTTTAATTTTCTCTTCAGTAATTTACTTCATAGTCATGGAAGATACGCGAACTTAGCTTTAAATAAATTTCAAGATTTTTCGTGTCCAATTTTTGTAAAATACATCTCAACCAACTCAAATGAACAATCTTTTACCGTCTCATATCTTATTAATTCATGTGGGATGTCTTCTGAATCTGCTCTAAGGGCATCCAAAAAAGTTCAATTCGATACTCCAGAAAAACCAGACTTAGTGATAAACTTTTTCAAGAGCAGTGGCTTCTCAGAAACCCAAATCTCAGACCTCATCAGAAAACGCCCAAAACTGCTTTTGTGCAATCCTGAGAAAACCCTTTTTCCAAAACTTGAGTTTCTTCACTCCAAAGGCGTTTCAAGTTGTGATCTTGCAAAACTTTTATGTCGGTGCCCTTTTTTCTTACGAAGGAGCTTAAAAAACCAAATAATCCCTTCCTTTCATTACCTTAGCAACTTGCTTCAATCTAGTGAAAAGGCTATTAATGCTATTAAAGGATCTCCTTGCATTCTTGATCTTGATCTTCAAAAATGGATTGCACCTAAAGTCAGTTATTTGCGAGATAATGGTGTGCCTGAATCAAATATTGTTATGGTACTTGGCAAATGGTCTCTCATTTGTGCATATCAGGGTAGTCGTTTTGAAGAGGTTGTGGACTTGGTAAAGGAAATGGGCATCAATCCTAAAAGATCACAGTTTGTTATTGCTGTTTATATAATGTTGTTACTTCCCAAATCTAAGTGGGATAAGAAGATTGATGTGTACAGGAGGTGGGGTTGGTCTGAGGAAGAGATTCTTACAACATTTCGAAAGAATCCTTGGTTTATGATTACGTCTGTGGATAAGATTATGAGAATGATGGACCATTTTGTAAACAAAATGGGTTGGGAGCCTTCTATCATTCTGAAGCAGTCAAATCTTCTTTCACTTAGCTTGGAGAAGAGAATAGTTCCTCGTGGTTCAGTTCTTCAATATCTGTCATCCAAAGGTTTGCTTAAGAATAATCCCTATAACCCGGTTACATCATTTAAACTTCCTGAAGAAACCTTCTTGCAGAGGTTTGTGAATTGTTATGATGAAGCGCCCCAGTTAATGAAGCTGTACAGAGAAGCTGGATCTTACAAAGATGGCAAAGTGAAAGGAAAGCGGCATTTGTAATATGTTGGCATCAAAATGATAGTGTTACTTGATCTAGTTAAATTCTTTGTATTCAGATTGGCTTTAATTTTAGTCAGAAAGAGCATCTACTCCAGATTTTTGAGTTATCTTCAGAAGTACACATTTTTATCTGTTAACTACACCTCTAGCAATGCAAATCAGTACTCCTTTGTTGTTTCATACTTCATCAACTCGTGGGTTTTCTTTAGACTCTGCTTTATCAGCTTTTAAACATGTGCATTTTGAAACCTCAGAACGGGCTGATTCAGTTCTCAGCTTTTTCGAGAACTATGGTTTCTCCAAAGCCCAGATTCCAATCCTCATCGAGAGACTCCCAACATTGCTTGTGTCTAGTCCTGAGGACCAGAATACAAAATTAATTTTAAACAATAAATTGATGAAACTTAATTGATTTCATTGATTTAGATTAAACATTATCAAATACCTTTTTTTTTATTTTATTAGTGTATTGAATCATCGTTGTCAATCGTCAATGGTCAAAATTATGATTTTTGTATCGTCCACAAACAAATTATAGATGAAGCCCGAGAAGCCCAATAGTGCAGAGGTCGGTTGGGCTTTGAGCTTTAATAACAAAATTTTGTTTCAAGAACTTTAACAGGGTTTTAAGGATAATAAAAATTCTTGTTTCTATGAGTCAGAGAAAGTTTTGCCGCGCCGCTGCATAATATTCGAGGGTTTCAGTTTCTCCCCCTGCTCAACTTAAACAGATTTCTGAAGTAAGCGAGCCTTCTGAAGGATATGTCTGGAGCATAAGGTGATAGGTTAGACGTTAGTGTATTCTATTATTTTTGCAATCATGGCGTTTAATTTTCTTCGCAGAACTTTAGTTCAGAATCATGGATGATACGCTGTTACTGCTTCACTAAACCATAGATTTCAAGAATTTTTCAATCCAATATTTGTCAAATACATCTCAACCAACTCAAATGAACAATCTTTTACAGTCTCTTACCTCGTTAATTCATGTGGGTTGTCACCTGAATCTGCTTTAAAAACATCCAAAAAATTTCAATTAGAAACCCGAGAAAAAACTGACTTAGTCCTCACCTTGTTCAAGAACAGTGGATTCTCTGAAACCCAAATCTGTGACCTAATCAGAAGATGCCCATCACTGCTTTTGTCCAATCCTGAGAGAAACCTTCTGCCTAAACTTGAGTTTTTTCACTCCAAAGGTTTCTTAAGTACTGATCTTGCCACTGTTTTAAGTCGGTGCCCTACTCTCTTGCTAAGAAGCTTAAACAACCATATAATCCCTTCTTTTACTTATCTAAGTAACATGCTTCAATCTACTGAAAAGGTTATTTCTTTAATTAAACGATTTCCTTCTATTCTTTATTGTAATCTTGTAATTTTTGTTGCGCCTAAATTCAATGTTTTGCGAGATATTGGTGTACCTGAACCACGTATTGTTAGGTTACTTTGTAAATGGCCTGCTGTATTCATAAATTATTCTCATCGTTTTGATGAGACTGTGGACTTATTGAAGAAAATGGGTATGGATCCTTTAAAGGCACGGTTTGTCCAAGCTATTGCTGTAATGTCAATTATGTCCAAATCCGAGTGGGATAGGAAGGTTGATGTTTACAAGAGGTTACATTGGTCTGAGGAAGAGATTCTTGCTGCATTTCAGAAGAATCCTTGGTGTATGATGACATCCGATGATAAGATAATGGCAGTAATGGACATTTTTGTGAACAAAATGGGTTGGGAGCCTTCTGCCATTGCCCAGCGGCCAATTCTTTTTTCATTGAGCCTGGAGAAGAGAATTATTCCTCGTGCTGCAGTTGTTCAGTTTCTATCATCCAAAGGTTTGCTTAAGGCCAATTTTCTCTCGGTTAGACCATATCTCATTTGTGAAAAGACCTTCTTGCAGAAGTTTGTGAGTTGTTATGATGAATCTCCCAGGCTAAAGAAGCTGTACAAAGAGAAGCTTCGATCTTTCAAAGATGATCAACTGATCAGTAAATAGTAGTAAGCATGTATTGTTTCTGATATGGTTACATCTGAATGGTCCAATTCTGTGTGACTTGATTTTGTGAAATTCTTTGTATTCAGACTTTCTATAGTTCAAACCAGAAAGAGCATTCAGTCCAGACTAATCTTGGTTTACTGGCACTTCACTTTGTTAGTGATTATATATGGTGATAGGAATTCAGCAATTGTAACATGCTCACATTAGAATCTGAACACTGATCTTCTATTCAGACTTACTTCAGTTCAATCCAAAAAGAGCTTCTCTCCAGATTACCCATGGTTTATTTTCATTTTCTGTTTCGAGTAAAGAATATGCTCAACAATGAGATTTTAAGATTTATAATCATGTATCATACTGGAATCTCTGGTCTTGATTAATCCTGTTAGTTTCCCTTTGTTTTCTAATTTTAGCTAAGCCCTGTAACTTTCAAGAATGACACTTTGTCACCCATAACTGCAGACAATACCCATTCTACACCCCAAGCCCTTACTTTTTTCGTTAAAATTAACTTGTATAAGGTTAAATTAGTCATTTTTGTTATTAAAAAAATGTAAATTAAACCTAAACTAAGAATGAAAAACGAAATTAAAAAAATAAAAATGAAAAATAAATTTCAATCCCCAATCGCCGGCAGTGATCTCATATGACGGCTAGCGATCTGCAGATCGTCGGCCACGATCTTCAAATCGTTGGCCGTGATTTACAAATTGAGGCTATTAAACACAACATGCTTCCCAGTTCTCTCTTTCACTTTTATCTCTTCAATATCCACTTCACTTCTACCTCAACCATGTCAACCAAATCCTAGTAAGCATCCACTCACCTTTTTTTTTTGTCTTCTTCTCTTAGATCTGACTTCGTTTTTTCATTTTTTTTCATCTGGGTTGTCTGTTTTCCGAACTTTAGTTCTTAATTTGCTTCAGAATCTACAAGTTTTTTAGACAAAGTTCTTAACTTTGTTTAATTTTCTTCTTGATTTCAAGCAAAATTAAAAGAAATTCACTGAGGGTAAACTGGTCAAATCTGAATGATGACCATGGGTATATTTGTAATTGTGTTAGTTAAAATAAGTCAAGTCTAATATTTAAAGGAAAATTCTAAGTGTAGGGTGTGTACGGTTTTTTCCGTAGTTATGGATGACAAAGCCTATTTTGAAAGCTACACTTACAAGAGCTCTAATTGTCTTACGCCAAAATAATGCATTACCTTTTTTGAACCATACGCTGCCGTTTTGGTTGGACCGATAAATAGTGAAGTCTGCCTACAATTCTAAACTTTATCACTTAGTCATTTGTATCAGGGGTATATAAGATAACGGAGATAATCTTCTTTTATTTTGCAAGATTCCAGTGTTTGATTTGCAAGTAATAAAATATTACGGTAATCTTTTATTGCAAATAATGTTTACTGTTGGTAATGTAGAGGGTAATCTTATTACCTTGTTTGGGGTGTTATTAAAACATTACTGGGGTAATCTGATTTTTCTACCTATTTTGCCCTTAATTAAAAACCATTTCAGACACAATTACTCTCAAATGTCTACCAAATAACAATTACCCAACCCCCCTACATTTGAGAAATTAGCTAAAACACCCCAACCACAAAAAGTTTAAAAGTTAACAAAATACTCTCAGTCACCCATGACCGCCGCCAGCCGTGACTCACCACCGTTGGCCGCTGATGTCAATCATCATAATGGTGCATGACTGGCAGGATCTAGCCGGTTGTGCACTGGTAAGGCCTTTTTCGGCCAAACGGCCAGATCTAACATTTTTATGGCCGTGAAATGGCCATTTTCGACTTTGTTAGCGCACGACCGGCCATATACGACCAGTCGTGTGCCATTCCGTCAATAGTCGACGGCGACTGACAGTGGTGACTGACTATCGGTACTGGCTTGGGGTGGATATGGGTGATTTTGCTATAAATTAAAGTTTTATATGGTTGTAGTGTTTTAGTAAAATTTCAAATGTAAGGGGTTAAAAAATATTCAAAAAATACTATTATATTACTATTTAAAAAGAAGGACAATTTAGTAATCTATATAACATACCCATACATTTCTCCTCCAACCAAACATATTATTCACCAATTTATTCAAATCAACCAAACACATTTTCTAAACATTATCAGTAATCTATAACGTGATCTTTCTTTCCGTTATTATAATATACCCCTATAATAAAACATTATATGATCCAAACGCTTCAGGTTTTACTTTCACCTGTTCAAGATTTCAAGTTCAATGGCAATACAAATTAATGCGAGGTTTCAAAGAAATTTTCTCAACTCTCAAGCATTGGTGAGTTTATTCAATCACTTTTGCAACTATGATGTTTAATTTTCTCTTCAGAAATTTACTTCATAGTCATGGAAGATACGCTAACTTATCTCTATTAAACCCTAATAAATTTCAAGATTTTTCGTGTCCAATTTTTGTCAAATACATCTCAAGCAACTCAGATGAACAATCTATTACCGTCTCTTACCTTATTAATTCATGTGGGTTGTCTTTTGAATCCGGTCTAACGGCATCCAAAAAAGTTCAATTTGATACTCTAGAAAGACCAGACTCAGTGGTAAACTTTTTCAAGAGCAGTGGCTTCTCAGAAACCCAAATCTCAGACCTCATCAGAAAATGCAGAAAAATGCTTTTGTGCAATCCTGAGAAAATCCTTTTGCCAAAACTTGAGTTTTTTTTTTTTCACTCCAAAGGCATTTCAAGTCGTGATCTTGCAAAACTTTTATGTTAGGACCTTGCTATCTTACAAAGGAGCTTAAAAAACCAAATAATCCCTTCCTTTCATTACCTTAGTAACTTGCTTCAATAAGTGAAAAGGCTATTACTACTATTAAACACTCTCCAAGGGTTCTTTATCGTGATCTTCAAAAATTGATTGCACCTAAAGTCAGTTATTTGCGAGATAATGGTGTGCCTGAATCAAATATTGTTAGGTTACTTAGTAATTGGCCTTCAAAATTTATAAATGACTCTGGTCGGTTTGAAGAGACTGTGGACTTGGTAAAGGAAATGGGCATCAATACTATAAGATCATAGTTTGTTACTGCTATTTATATAATGTTGGTAATTCCCAAATCCGTGTGGGATAAGAAGATTGATGTTTACAAGAGGTAGGGTTGGTCTGAGGAAGAGATTCTTATGACATTTTGAAAAAAAAACTCCTTGGTGTATGATTACATCTGTGGATAAGATAATTGTAAGATTCAGCATGCATGAAGAGTGGTGGAGATGGAGAATGAAAGCATGGATTAAAAAAACGGTTTACATGCAAAGCTTGGATATGAGATTATACCTACTCTTTTGCTTTGGATTGATGAAGATTAGCTTCAAAAGAATGAAACCTCCACACTTTAACACCACCTTGAGAGGATTAGAGAGTGGCCTTGGCTAGGGAGAGAGAGCTTTTAGTTTGTGTTTGAGTGAACAAGTGAATAATGAACAAAAATGCAACCTTTTGCACTTATATATACTTGGGCTATTTTGCAATTATTTATTTTTCACTTCCAAGCCCAATAAAATCTTATTTTATAAAGGGACCCCACGAATTTAATATGCTACCCTTTGAATAATCAATATTATTCAAGGGCCCATGTAAACTAAACTAGTTTACATTAACAACCCATAAATTTACCCTTTTTACCCTTTAACTATTAAAAGGTTATTTTTGTTCATCTCATTAATCTTAACACTTTAAGATATAATAATTAAATATAATTAATTATTGCTTGACCATTTTAACCCTTAAAATGTCACAAATTGTTTTCTATGTAACTATTACTATAGAAATCCCGTTATTACCCTCGGAAGGTGCTAGCCCTCTTCGGATAATCATTTCTCTCTCTCATCATTCTCTAACTTCTCAAGGCTATTGGTGTGACCATGTAGGTCCACCGTGGATTAGCCGTGAGCCGGTTCTGGATGAATCCGGAAACCTGTCCGGAGGCCCAACGACTATGGTAAACATCTAGCAATGTGCCATAGTCCCTAAACCACGATGAAGAAATACTTCATCGAACCCATTTCAGATCATACGTACCATGCAGGTAAAGTCCCTCCATTGAGATATCCTAATCGAGTATGGATTCATGGAACGTCAAAATCCTAAACTCGATCTTCTACCGAATTGTCGATCAATATGTCCGGAACTTGTCATCACAAACTTACTTTTGTATGACTAATAATAGACTCTGGCCAGAGATTCAGTTTTCCGACATTTATCGATGTTCGTCTAGGAACTCGAATCCGGATGGAGTCAGCGGTACTCCCGATCCTATATTTCCGAGTCAATGGATCCCCTCTTGACCATCGTTCGTTTCCGCATATGAACAACGCATGACCAAATAGGCTTTATTGTACGAAACATGATTAGTCTCGTACTTATACACCGTATGAACCATACGCATCCATATCGGATCCGACTACAATGTCTCAGGTCAAAGGACTACATCGTGCACTGATATAACCAAACGATAAATCATTGACTACATGCTTTTCCAAGTGATTTGTCGTTATTCGGTCACGTTCGAAAAACAGTTCACCAACCGTTAATCCATACCAATGCCCCAGTGACATGACTATCATCGTCATCCGTACTTATATCAACTCATGATATCTTTCGGAAGCATCCGGTATGCCTACTGTATAATATAGTTGCCCAAATTTATATTGCTTCCGCAGGGAACCTTTTTCGATAATTCATTTACCTATTAAATGAATCATCTGGACAATTCATATACATACTTTATTTTAAATGCATGACTGAATAAAGGAAGCAATTTACATATATGAATTGAAGAACTCTTTCTTCTATTATTTATGATATATATAGATACAAGACAAAATTCTCTGAAACCGACAACACGAATGGTTTCTAGGGCATACACTAATATACACTAACAATAATGGCAGTGATACTTTTTTGTGAACAAAATGGGTTGGGAGCCTTCTGTCATTCTGAAGCAGTATAATCTTCTTTCACTTAGCTTGGAGAAGAGAATAATTCCTTTGCTTTAGTTTTTTAGTATCTGTCATCCCCAGGTTTGCTTAAGAATAATCCTTATAACCCGGTTACATCGTTTAAAATTCCTGAAGAAACCTTCTTGCAGAGTTTTGTGAATCGTTATGACGAAGCGCCCCAGTTAATGAAGTTGGATCTTTCAAAG